AGAGCCTAATTTAATCACTGGCAAAAATTGGAAAGCTTTGGGCACCAGAGAAGACTGTAGCTGCAAGAGGCAAGTGGCCACTGGGACTATTTTGCTCCCACGTCTCTGCTGCTAGTAAGTCTCTCCTGGAGTCCCTGGCCTAAATTCTGACAAGGCAATGCTTTATTCTCTTTACCTTTCTCTGATTTTCTGAGCCCTCTTCTGCTGTTTGGTTGGATTGTATCCACTTCTGTATAGGTACACCCTAGAGGGCTCCTGTCTATGCTTTGTTTTTCTGATTTAAATCTAGTCGATACTTTTCTTCTTTATGCTGAAAACAGTGGAGAGAACTACTTTTATCGATTACTGTTAATGGAATAGGTTGGCACTGCAATTGGGACTAGGCTAAACTGGACCCCACTGCTCCTGTTTTCTCTTTTTTTGTTTGCTTGGTTAGACATTTACTTGAGTACCAGTAATCTGAATAAAGCTTCCAATCCTTGCATCAACTTTTGGACTTTCAGGTCATTTGTTTAAAGCGAGAGAGCAAGCTGAGCCTGACCATCGGTAACAGGCTGTAGGGATGCTGTTTGGGTGAGGAGGTCTCTCAGCTCACCCCAGTCGGTGGCTGCTGCCTCTGTCCTTGGGGGGAAGCTGGACAATAAAAGAGAAATTCCCACGCCCAAGCAAGTTGGGGACTCACCTTCCCGGCACTGGTATTGCACCCACAGGTAGCTGCCCCGAGTTGGACACAGGTCTCCAAAGTAGGTCCCATCTGCCGCCACCTGGCATGCCTGCAGCCCCTGGCACTGGCCTGGGAAGCGCCCACATCCCAGTAGAAGGAGGAATGGTGTGCAAGACAAAAAAAGCTACTGTCAACAGAGCTGCACAAAGATGGATTATTTAGTAAGATGGCTTAAAAAGCAAAAACCTACACTCTGAGAACCGGCAAGAGGGGGCAAGATTAGGACTTCTGTGTCTATTGGGGGTGCCAGGTGCCCACAGAAGAAGGAACATGAAGAACCCACATCAGAACAAAAACCTACACTCTGAGAACCGGCAAGAGGGGGCAAGATTAGGACTCCTGTGTCTATTGGGGGTGCCAGGTGCCCACAGAAGAAGGAACATGAAGAACCCACATCAGAAATATCAGGATCATCCAACACCTCTCCCTCCTGCCCGTGTGGACGTATTAGATGCCTGTGAAGATGCCGGGGAGAAAGGGGCAGGAAGGCACTGTGGCCCAAGGGCAACCTCGTGGCTTTGCCAGAAATGCGTGTGTGTCCTGGCTCCTTTGCCTCTTAGAAACCCACACTTGCTCCAGACTTTGACATATTTCAATGCTCCCCTGCCTATGTGGTCGCTTAGTCAAGGCAAGCCCCCCATTGCATCCCGAGGGGCTCCCCCGAGCCTGGATCTCCTTCCTGCTGTCACTGTTTCCTACACCCTGCTATCAGTCACCAGGTGCTGATGACTGTCCAGTCTACACCTGTTCAGCTCTCTCTTGAGGTCCTTATCCATATGGTCAGTTGCCTACTTGACATCGCCACTTGGATGTCACAGGCTGACCCAGGTTCCTGTATCCCCAAAGTGAGATCTTGATCTCTAATACGGGTTGAATTGTGATCCCCAGAAAGATATGTTGAAGTCCCAACTCTCCATACCTGTGAATGGGACCTTATTTGGAAGTAGGGTCTTTGCAGATGTAATCAAGTTAAGATGAAGTTATTAGGGTGAGCCCTTAATCCAATATAACTGGTGTCCTTATTAAATGAGGGAAATTTGGACACAGAGACACAAAGGGAGAGAAGACCATGTGAAGACCAAAGCAGGGGTTGGAGCGATGTAGCTACAAACCAAGAACACCGTGGGCTGCTGTCATAACCAGAAGCCAGGAGAGGTGGGGAACAATCCTCCCCTACAGGTTTCAGAGGGAGCGTGGCTCTGCTGGCACCTCATTTTGCACTTCTGGCCTCTAGAACTGTGAGAGTATAGATGTTTGTTGATTTAAGCAACCCAGTTAGTGGTTCTTTCTCCCAGCAGCAGTAGGGCACAACCGTGACCTCCGTTCTCCACCTCCCACAAGCTATTCTTCCTTCCTCTTTCAGCCTCTCCTCTCTCCGTTCATGCATCTCAAGATACAGAACAGTCCAAGCCAGAAATGTAATGGTCATCCTTGACTCCCATCAATGGCCAAGTCCCACTAGTCTTCCTTCTGTCTCTGGAGTACACCCATTTCTCTCCATCTTACATTGTGCCACCAGCGTCTTTCATCTGCTCCTCTCATCCGCTCCCTGTTCATTTTGACCCACAGCAGCCTGAGGGTGGATCTAAAACAAACCTGGCCCTGCTCCTCTCCTGCTCAAAATCCTCCAGTGCTTTCCCAATATTCTGGGGATGAAGGCCAGGTTCCTTGGGCCCCAGTCCCCAACTCTATCTGCACTAGAGCTATCCTGAGTGCTTTGCAGCTCCACACACTTCCCAAGCTCTTTCTCACCTCCAGGGCTTTGCATGCATTCTTACCATGGTCCAGAACACTCACCTGTCCTCTTCCTGGTTATCTCCTAGGATCTCCCCTCCTCTGGGAAGTTGACCAATCACTTGATTCACAGATCCACCCTCACCCTGCCCTGCTCCATATCGCAGGGAACTACATATCCCAAACTCCTTTGCCCACTGGCTTTCGGGTAGGCTTGGCCAAGGGCAGGCACTGGGGAAGACTAGAGGGCAGTGTATTCATTTCCAGTCACTGCTGTAACAAATTACTGCAAACACAATGGCTTAAAACATCCCAAATTTATTATCTCATAGTTCAGGAGGTCAAAAGTCTGGGCTATGCTCAGGGTATCACTGGACTGAAATCAAGGTGTTGGCAGGGCTGCTTTCCTTTCTGGAGGGTCTGGGGAAGAATCTGCTTCCAATCTGACTCTTATTGTTGGCAGAATACAGCCCTCAGCTCCTAGAGGCCTCTCTGCAGACCTTGCATGTGAACCCTGCTTTTCAGAGCATGCAATGGCGCATCAAATCTGTCTCACACTGGGAATCTCTCTGACTTCTCCTCCCACATCCTCTTCCACTTCTAGCCAAAGACAGTGATCTACTTTTATGGGCTCATATGTTTAGATTGTGCCCAACTGGATAATCCAGGATAGTCTCTCTATTCTCTCAGCGGATGAGCAACCTTAATTATATCTCAAAGTCCCTTTTGCCGTGTAAGTTAACATATTCACGGGCATGGTATCTCACCATACCCAGGGATTAGGTGGGAAATCTTGGGGGACATGATTCTGCATATCCCAGATAAGAAGCGGTAGGAAGATGGGAAACTTCCCTCCTGCACGGTCCTCCCTACATGGTCCTTGCTCCCACAGGGCAGCCTCTGTCATGGTTCTAGCACCTGCTTGGTGGCTCTGACTTCTGGTTTTGGTAAGGCCATCCCTTCTGGTTGTCCCTCCAGCCTTTAGGAGTGGTAGTGTTTTTCTCTTGGTGCTAATCTCATCCTGTTTGGCTTTTCAGCACTTCCATGACTTGAGAAGCCAATTCCCAGCATTTGTTCACATCGTTGAAGTACCTAGCATAATTTCCAGTGGGACCTAGTTGGATACACCCCTCGATCTGAATTACATACTCCTACTATGTGCATGCACAGCACTAGACTATAATCTCCAAAAGAGTGGGAAGTTTTAAAAACTTTTTGTTCACTGCTCTATCTTCAGCACACAGAACAGCTGCTGGCACATGGTAGATAAAAAATAAGTTTTGCATGAGTAAATAAATAGCACCTTTGGCTCCCCTCTGTTATAGCATTTAGAACACTGTTGGGTAATTGCCTGTATACATCTCTCTCCCCCCTTGGAAAATGGGCTGCCTGTGTCATCCCTGTATCCACAGAGCCCAAGATAGTGCATGGCACAATGTTATTGCTCAATAAATGTTTATTGGCCAACTGAATGAGTAAGTGATCAGGACACTTAGATACAGACAGACCCCTTGAGTCCCTCTCAGATCTTCTCCAACCCTTCCCAACAGGGTATAGGACCCCCCTCTAATGTGCTCTCTGGGGTATGGCTGCCACATTTTGGAAGCTTGAGCTGAGCCTTTGAGGAAATAGCCCATGCAGCCCCAGCAGTGCCTTGGTGAGGGAAGCACATCCATCAGCCTGTCCAGCCCAGAAGTGCTGGAACAACAAGAAGAGTCTTTTCCTCCCCCCACCCGCAGCTGAGCCTTTGAGGAAACAGCCCATGCAGCCCCAGCAGTGCCTTGGTGAGGGAAGCACATCTATCAGCCTGTCCAGCCCAGAAGTGCTGGAACAACAAGAAGAGTCTTTTCCTCCCCCCACCCGACACCAGCTCCAAGGGGGCAAAGGGCAATGGGGCTGACACGTGGTGGGGAAAGGAGCAGTTCCAAGGGGGTGGTGCATGCTGCCCCAAGGCAGGAGGAGGAGCTGGGAGTACTGAGCACCTTCCCCTGAATCTTCAAGCGGGGACTGGGTGGAGGCAGAGCCTCAGAGGGGAAACACAGAGGCATGCAGAGGAAGGCTGGTCCTGAGACCCCAGGGATCCCAGCCTGGGCACAGATTGCTGTGTCATCACTCAGCCAAGAAGCAGCAGACTGCCTACCCTCCCAGGACCCTGCAGGATGGACAGTGGTCACCTCAGAGGAAAGAAGGGGGCTCCTCTGATGTCTAAGACAGTGAAAGTTTCTGAGGACTCTGGACCTCCCAGGAGTGTGCAGGGAGCCCCATAATCCCTAAAATTGAATCCTTGTCATGGGGCTGCTCAGAGGCAGATTTAATCTGATTTAGGAAAACAAAGCCTTAGAGAAGCTCTCCCACACAGACAAGAGATAGTGTCAGGAGCATTTGCTTCAGCCTCATTCACAGCAGCAACAACGAAGAAACGACTCATGCATCTCTCGACAGGAGAAGAGACGATCGTGGTGCAGAGACACACTTGACGAAATGAACAAACCAGAACAATGTGCATCAAGATGGGTGATACCTCTCAAACACACAATGCTGAGCAAAACACAATGACAAAAAATTAAACAGAAGAAAGAAAAAAGCACACTGCAGAATGACACATACAGGATGATACCACTTACAAAAACATCAAATCTGAAAAACCCCACTGTACAATGTTTAGGGACATATAAATAGAAAGCAGCAATAGAGAACCATGCACGTGATTAATAAACACCAAATGCATGACAGGAACAGGACCAGGGAGGGCTACATAGGAGCCTTGTAACTTGCATTCATTTTTCTAAATGAGGGAATCTTAAGCAAATGTGGCAGTGTTCAGATTTGACAAAGGTGGGTAGTGGATCAATGGGAGCTCATCACAATATTTTTATTCTAGTCTATATGTTTGGAATACTTCAAAATTTCTGTGCGCCTTGGGCCCTACCTGCCACTTCGTCCTTGACGCTGACACAGCTGCATTCCTCTTCCAGGTCCAAAGGACTCCCAGCATTCTGGGTGCAATAATGGGGGGTCTGGCGCCCGTAGAAGGCATCCTGGATCTGGATGACCTCCCCCGAGCCACAGTGCATGGTGGCATTGAGGCCCTCGCAGGCCAGGCTCTGGCCAACCCCTGTGGCAAAGAGAAGATGACACCTTAGGGGGCCTGGCAGTTACAAATGGGCAAGCCCCTGGTTGATGGGAAGGTGTCAGGGCTGTGACATGCAAGGACCTAGCTTGGTAGGGGTGAGAAATATAATGTGGGGGGTCGAGAGCATGGTCCTGGAGCCAGGCTGCCTGGGATCAGCTCCTGCCCTGCTATGCACTGTCTGTGTGACCTTCAGCTAATTAGCCAGCTTCTCTGTGCCTCCTGTGTAAAGGGGGATATCAATGCTGCACCTCCTAGGGTTGTTAGGAAGAGTAAATGAGTTATACATGTACAGTAAGTGGCAACTATTGTTCTGCCTATTTCTAGTATCTTCCTTAAGCATTATCTTAAAACAATGTCTGGCACACAATAGATGCTAAGTCAGTATTTGCTGAAGGAATGAGTGGTCTCATCATGTCTCAGACCAGTCCTACCAGTTGTACTGTTATCCTCCTGTTAAGAACACATTGGGAGAGAGAGCGTACCTAGGGATACAAAATGGAAGTGGGGGAAAGAGGGATGGTAGGGAGGTTGGGGATTAATTGGGTGGGGGACACGGGGTATAATCGCAATATGTGGTAATGGGCATGCTGCCAGTATGGATCTGGCTACCACACCTTGGGCAAATGTGATGGTCAGCCTTGTACGCCATGAGTATTCATAACCAATAAAAAAAAAAAATGAATCTCAAAAAAAAAGAACACATCAGGATCAGAGGGATCCCTGTGCTGAAACCCCACTCCACCCAGCTTCCAGAACACAGCTGACGCTCAGTAAACATTTGTTTAAAAAGAATGATGTGGCTGGGCATGCTCAGCCAGAGAGTGGGAAACACTGGACTCAAACTCAGGCCTGTTTGCCTGGCTGGACCACGACAGGGCTGCTGTTGAGGCCAAATCCTGTATTAGTTTCTTATGTTTCTGCAGCAAATTACCACAAAGTCAGTGGTCTACAACATAAACTTGTCACCTTACAGCTCTGGAGGTTAGAAATCCAAAAATGGATCTTATGGGTGAAAATCAAGGTGTGGGCAGGGCCGGCTCCTTCTGGAGGCTCTAGGACAGAATCTGCTTCCTCGTCTTTTCCAGCTACTAGAGGCCACCCCCGTTCCTCGAATCGTGGTCCCTTCCTCCGTCTTCAAAGCCAACAGTGTAGCATGTTTGAATCTCTTGCTCTCTCTCTCTCTCCGATCATAGGCAAACCCAGGTTCAAGCCTCAACTCTGTCACTTCCCAGCTGTGTGGGAAGAAACTTACTCTTTCTGAGCCTCATTTTTCTGAGCTTTAAAATGGGCCCACAGTAGAATAGTGATGGAGTTAGGATGTGTTGTCCCCTCCAAAACTCATGTCGAAATTTGATCTCCAGTGTGGCAGTGTTGGAAACTGATTGAGTCATGGGGGCGGATCCCTCATGAATGGATTAATGCTCTCCCTGGGGGAGGGGGGATAAATGAGTGAGTTCTCGCTCTATTAGTTCCCGTTAGAGCTTGTTGTTTAAAAGACCCTGGAACCTTCTCTCTCTTTCTTGCTTCCTCTCACCATGTGATCTGCTTGTACCTGCCGCTGCCTGCCACTTTCTGCCATGAATAGAAGCAGCCTGAGGCCTGTGCCAGATGCAGCTGTCCCAGAATCATAAGCCAAATAAACCTCTTTTCCTCATAAATTACCCAGTCTCAGGTATTTTTGTTATAGCAACACAAAGGGACTAAAACAAATAGCGTAGCTACTTCTCCCGTTGGGATGAATAAATGAGCACAGAGCGTTTAGCTCAGCGTCTGGAACAACTGCTTGAGAATGTTAACTCTTCATGTGTTAACTTCATGCCAAGGGGCTCCAAGACCCTGAGGGCCAATAGATCCTGAGAGACAGGTTTGAACTGGATGAGGGGAGGTTGGGTGAGAGGGGTCAGGGGTTAGATGGCTACAATAAGAAGAAAGGGAAGTTGCACAACGAAGAGGTCCCGAAAGCTTCCCAGTTCTCAGAATTAAGCAGGCAGAGGAAATTAAGCCTGCGTGGCAGCTATTTTAAGCCAGGCAAAGGGGAAATAGAGCAGGGCTCCTTTGAGAGTCCAAACCTAGAGTGGGGCCCAGGAGCCAGGAGGGGGCTGGGCCCAGGAAGCCCAGAAACTACTCCCAGGCCTGGTTTGAGGGCTCTGAGCACATCACAGGAGCAGGGTCAGGGGAGCACAGGGCACTGCCAGGGCCCTGTACAGTGGGCAGGACCCCGTGTGGGGCCACAGGCTGTTCCTGTAGGGACTCTCACACCCAGTCCTCAGAAGGGGTCTCCAGGGCCTGCAAGGGGAGTTAACACTGGGCATCAGCTGGGGGAATTTGGGAGTGGAGGGGGAGTGAATGTGGTGGGGACAGGCTCAGACCCAGGCGGGTCGAGGTAGCAGGAGTTGAGGGTGAGAGAGAACAACCTCCTGGCGCTGCATCTCCCTCATGGGGAGTATGAAAAAGGAGGATAGAGCTGAGAATCTCCCCTTCCACGTGTGTGCATGAGAGAGAGACAGAGAAGAGAAAGACGGTTGGCAGGTGAGCAGGTGAGTGACAGGGAGAGACTGGGGACGTGAGCTGCAGAGAGTAAGGGAGCCACAGAGATACGGAGCATGGCAGAGGCAGAGAGGGAGAGAGACAAGGAGACAGAGACAGAGAGAGAGAGAGAGAGAGAGAGGAGGAGACAGAGAAAGAGAGAGAGAAACAGGGGCGGGGAGGGAAAGAGGGAGAGTCAGAAAATCACAGGCAAATGAAGGTGAGGTCAGAAAACACAAACAGGCAAAGCACTTTAACAGGGGGACAGAGAGACAGAAGACACAGAAAAACACAGAGAGGCACTAGAAAAGGAGGAGAGACAGAGAGACCCACACGGGGAGAGAGGCAGAGACTGAGAAACAGAACCAGGAAGAAGTGGGGAGAAAGAGAAGGAAAAGCAAGACCAAGATGGGGGCAGAGAGGGGACGGAGAGACAGCCCTCCGGACAGCCCCGCCGAAGGAAAGGAGAGGGGGCGAGGAGGTGGGAGGGCCGTGGGCTGGGCGCTCACCACGCTGGCAGATGAAGGCGAAGGCCTGCGTGCAGGCCGTGGCCGCCCACTCGGAGGAAGGGCCTCTCCCGATGTAGCCGCAGGTGTCGGCGGCAGGTGCGGCCAGCCCTCGGCGCCAGTTGCTGTAGCTCACATTCGAGGTGTCCAGCCAGGTCCCCGGCCCTGGGATGGGAACGAGAGCACTGGGACTTGGCAGGAGTCTCCTCTTACCAGCTTTGATGTGGCCGGCTTGCCCCAGCCCAACTCCTCGCATGCAGTAGGTGCTCAAACAATGTTGCCGGGCCAAAGGCCTCTCTTCCCCAATACCAGCAAAGGAGCATTTCCTTACCATCATCATCCTCACACACTCAAACATATGCACTGCGGTACCAAACTGGAAAGCCCATAACAAGTGTTTGGATTAAATAAACAATGCTTCTGGCTCTAACCAGCACCTAAGAGAGCCCAGAGGTGTGCCATCAGGTGTCAGTAGGTGTCTCACCCGTGAGTCAGGTCCCTTGTCAAATATACCTGGGCAGTGCGGAGTTAAAGTGTAAGCAGTTTCCATTACTTCAGTGCTGTTCAGAGTCTTGAAAACACGATGTCACTCTTGAAGAGGTGCTCTGTGTGTGTGGGTGGGTGGGTGGGTGTGATATACAATCATTTCAAGGCCACTAGAGAGCTAGAAAACACTAGATATAAAAATTTACTATGAAGACTCAAAAATATAATCATTAATTTTTTAAAAGATAAAAAATTCATGCAAATGGTTTTTTAAAAAATACGAAAGGTAAAAAAGGAAAACATCTTCCTTCTGCCCACCCGTGGACTGCTCTCATTATTGTTACATTCCTTGTAAATGGTTCCAGGTGGAACTTTACCCACATATCTGCATTTATGGGCGCCTGGAATCTATTTGCACAAATGTGATTGTATTGTGCACAGTGTTCTGGTCCTTGCTTTTTAAATAACGTATCAGCCTAGTTAGATCCACATTTTCTGTAACAGCCACGCAGTATCCCTTGGGAGTTTTTAATAGACACAAGTCCTTTAGCTGCACGTGAATGGCTGTTCAATGTACAGAAATTCACAATTGCTGCAACTACAAGTCAAGAAACCATTAGATAAACATTGCCTGAAGAGGCATCGTAAGAATTCATATCCCCTTGGCAATGAATTTCCTTAAAGGAGCTTCCCCAACAGCTTGTTTAAATAAGACATTTCCATCCACACTGGTATATTTCTGTGGGTGCTCAGTTCACACCAAGTTACTCATTTCTAAAACCCAGTAGCTTCTACTGGGACAAAGACAATGCGTGGTTACCAGTGTGACATGGCAGGAGAGGTCAGCCTTAGGAGTTGCTCTGACCGGCTTATGGCCATGTCATCTCAAGGAAGTCAATTCCTCTCTCATTTTCCTCGTCCATAAAGAAAGAACGGCTATGCCTGCCTCGTGAGGTCAGTATAAGGATTAAATACGAACATCTCTCTGTCCTTTCTCTATTGTGCATAGACACTGGGAAAACAAAAATGGCTAGCATATGATTCCTTCCCCTGGAGAGCTCATAGTCTAGGGGGGGAGACAGACACATAAACAATTTCAGGCATGCCCAAAGTGCTCTCATAGAGGTGTGGACAGGATCCTTCAGGTGCACCGAGAAGCACTCACCTGGCTGTGCTGGGGTGGGGGAAGGAGTCGCCCCTCACAAAAAAAATAAGTAAGAGTTTTCAAGAGGAGCATTAAAAGGAATGTGAATGGAGCTGTACTAAGCATTGGCCTGCTTTAATCTCATTACTAGTGGGGAAAGACTTGTGGATGTGCTTTGAAAATAGCTTGGTCATTATCTTCTGAAACTCAGTTTTCTCATCTGTAAAATGGGAACAACAATAATGATTTTTCTCATTGGGTATTATAAGGATTCAACATGATAGTGACCATGAAGCACTCAAGACAGTGCCCAGCACTATTCTAGCAAGAATTGAAGTCATCATTAGTAGTATTATTAGGTGCATGCAAAGACGTGGACATTTCTAGAGTGTCACTGATGAGCCAGATTTTGTGCCAGATTTTGTACATGAATTAATTTATTGCATCCACAAAATAACCTAAAGAGGAGGGTATCCTTACCATGAGAATTGGGACATATTCATTTGTTCTACAGAGTTTTGGGTGAGACGCGACAGCAGGAATTGCAATCACAAGCTTTTTGTAAAATACAGCTGTCACATCACCTACCTTCTGATGAGCCAGATTTTGTGCCAGATTTTGTACATGAATTAATTTATTCCATCCACAAAATAACCTAAAGAGGAGGGTATCCTTACCATGAGAATTGGGACATATTCATTTGTTCTACAGAGTTTTGGGTGAGACACGACAGCAGGAATTGCAATCACAAGCTTTTTGTAAAATACAGCTGTCACATCACCTACCTTCTGTAGTTCCGTTCTGTGCCCAGTTCCCTGTGAGTCCGATCCACCACTCCCTGTCCTGCAAGATGTACTTCTGCAGGAACTGCTGAGTGTCTCCATCACGAATGAAGACCAGATGGCCTCCTTGCTCCTCACACCAGCTCTGGGCACCATGGAAGGTGCGCCTGAATGGCACAAATTCATAGCAAGCATCTCTAAAGGCCACCTGGCTCTTAGAGCAAAAGTTGCCCTCCTCTGGCTTAGCAAGGGTGGCCCCAAACCTCAGAGTGAGCCCCAAGAGTACCCAGCCTGCTGCGCTCATCCTTGAACCGTTGCTGCAGCGACCAGATGGACCTTGCCTCAGGTCCTTCTTATGCTAGTGCCCTCCGTGCTGTTCCCCATCCATCTTCCCTTTTCTCTTGGCATCAAGTGATAGCAACTACCTTTTGTTTAAGAAACAAAAGACTCAGGGTGAATGTGTTTGCATTTTTGTTTCATCCAGCTCTTTGTTCAGTGCCTGTTCCAAAGCCAATTAATTTTCCGAATGGCCTTCTAGAGAAAGAAAAAGTTGCTGTATCACCTGTCTGCTTGTCATTCAGTCAACTGTTAGCATCTGATAAAAATGCCTTGCTGTTGGTTTTATGTCATTACCCAGAGGGCCGAATGTTTCACAATAAGCCATCAGCATGTGGGAAATATGTGATAAAAGGAAAATGGCAAGAAAGGTAGAGTTATGGGATAGCAAAGAAACCCAGTTGCACTCCTGTCCAATCCTATTGTCTAGACTGACAGCTGTGCCCAAATGATAATCATTTTCTCCCCAGCATGGCTGAAATCCCAATGAAGAGTTGGCCCCCTCTCTGATTTGTCACATCATCACTGATGCCTGTTAGAGAATAAAAATTCCCTGAAAAATTTATTTGATGACATCATGAAAATAAGCTTTCATTCAAAACTCAGACCTGCCCGTCTTCACCCACTACTTAATCCCTCCAGTGGGTTTCCATGGTCTATGGATCAAGGTCAAACTCAGCTTTGAATATAAGGCTCTGTATGGTCTGGCCCCTGACAATATTTCCAAATACATTTCCCCAAATATGGGGAAACATGCTCTCTCAACCCTTGCTGATGGGGGTGTAAATTGGTACAACCTCTATTGTGGGCAGTTCAACAATGTCTACCACAATTTACAAAGCACTAACTATAATCTAGCAATTCCACTGCTGGAAATTTCACTGACATAAACTCATACATGCGTGAAATGTCATATAAGGCTATTTGTTGCAGAATTTTGTACAAAGGAAAATTCAGAAGCAACCTGAATGTCCATTGATAGGAAGTTGGTTAACAAAATGTGGTACATCCTACATATCCAATAAAAAATGAGCAAACTTTTTCTACACAAATTTAGAAGGATTGTTAAGATTTTTGTTACTCTTAAAAGTGAAGCATGAGACATTGCATATGGTCCCATCCTGTGTGAATAAAAGCATATATAAATATTTATTTGTATGTGTATGTGTATCCCTTAAAGAACATACAAGAAATTGGTAATAGTGATTGCTTGGGAGGGAACTAGGTAACTGGGAGGCAGAGGAAGAAGGGAGATTTTTGTTTCGTTGGTTACCTTTTGCAACTTTTCTATTTTGTACCACGTGAATATATTACTTTTTCAAAAATAAATTCTTTTTAAAAAAATCTCATGGGTCCATCATCCCCCACAAGCTCAAAGCCACAGCTCCTGCTAACCGTCATAATACCCTTGCTGTGACCTTCCTTCACATCTCTGTGCATTTGCCTGTGAGGTCCTCTCTGCCAGGACCTAACCCTTCCTGACCACCTCCTCATCCTTTAAGACTCAGCTCAAACGTCACTTCCTTTGTGAGCTCTGTAGAACTTGGCTCATGTAATAAGCCTCTCTCTTCTGTGTTTCACTTTTCTTTTTTTTAAATAATAGCTTTGTTGAGCTATAATTCACATATCATACAATTCACTAATTTAAAGTGTACAATTCAATGGTTTTTAATATATTTACATGGTTGTGCAACTATCACCACAATCAATTTTAGAACATTTTCGTCACTCCAAAAGGAAACCCTAAACCCAATAAGCAATTACTCCCTATGTCCTCCTGTCCCCATTTTCTGACAGTAACTAATCTACTTTCTGTATTAAGGATTTGCCTATTTTGTACATTAAATATAAATAAAATCATACAGCATGTGGCCTTTTGTGTCTGGCTTTTTTTACTTAGCATCGTGCTCTCAAGGTTCATCTACACGGTAACAAGTGTCAGAACTTCATTCCTTTGGGGGAAGGGTACTCAGTAAAACTTTATTAAATAAAGGTTGAATGAAGGGTCTTACAGAACTAACATATCCCCACCTTAGGTCTTTTTTTGCCTGCCTGAGTAACGTTCCTGTAAACTTTCGTAATTAATTAGATTTGACGATGTTACTTTAGTGATGGGAAAAATTATTTTAACTGCTAGCTTCAGAGTTCCTCTTGAGAAGAGAACTTTTTCTTTAGGAAAATACCTACACAGGCCATCTGGGTTGGGAATGGGGAGTCAAAAGGGTATGGTTTATACTTTTAAATCAAAAGCCAGAGCTGGAATGGTCTGCATAAGAAGTTAGTAAATTGAGGTTAGAGGAGGGAGCCGTGCAATGTGATGGGATCCGGAAGCTTCAAAACAGGTGTCAGGTCGACAGTTCCTTGTGGCAGGGTAGACAGAGACTTTGGAGAACACAGTTGTCTAATATTTGGTTTTAAGTTGTTAACTTGCTCACAGTCCCATTTTTTTTTTTTTTCTCTCCATTGCCCCTCCTCCAGCTCCTGGCAACCACTACTCTACCTTCTGTCTCTATGGGTTTATCTATTCTGGACATTTCTTATAAATGCAATCATACAATATGTGACCTTTTGTGTATGGCTTCTACTTAGCATAATGTTTTCAAGGTTCATCCACGTTATAGTGTGTATCAGTGCTACATTCCTCTTTAAGGCTGAATAATATCCCATTGCATGTATAGACCACATTTTGTCTATCCATCATCAGTTGATGGACATGTGGGTTGTTTTACTCTGTGATTCTCAATCTTTGTCCATCCCATGGCTGGCTCATAGTAGGATTCAATGAACATTTTTGCCATTTTGGCCCCGTCTCCCAGATCCCTGGGGCTGAGCCTTTGGCCTCCCTCTCTTTCCTAAAAACCCTTCCAAGCCTTCTGGAGTGGCCCTGCCTGACAGAGGAGGGGAAGGGCCAGAGCCTGGGGTAGGGTGCGGTATCATCGCTGACTCACAGCCTGGAGCACAGGCTGGGCAGAACTGGCCTGTTATCTCTGGAGTCCAAACTTCTAATGACTTCTATTGCAAAACCACATGGAAGGTACAGGCAGTGATAATGTATCTTCTGGATGAAGGCTTAACTGATGTCTCTAATGGAACATGCTTAGAGACATTTGATAACGAATGCAAATCTGCAGGCTAAATTCCATGTTCACATTCTTTACATTCTGATAAATTGCAGACTCCTGGATGTGGAATTGTTTTGGTGATGTCAGCTCCCAATGTCCTTAACCTTTGAAACTCACACTTACAGTAAGCAGGACATGGCTGGCCCTGTGTGAGTGTGTTTCCAGTGATCTGATCCAGCTGTCCGAGTTTCCAAGCAGGATCAGCAACATGAAAACAGAGAGCAAGTTCAGTTTAAATAAGGCATAGAGCCCATAAAAAGAACCATAAAGATATTAATGCCCTATGGCCTACATGTTCCAGTCCAGGAAGTGCACACATTTTAGTTTGGGTCCCCAAGAAACTAAATGAGATAAGGATTCAAGTACAAGGAACCTATTTGGGAGGGGATTCAGGAAACACTGGCAGGCACTGGGGGAGTACCTCTCTCTATGGGAACTGGTGTCTTTACTGGTCATACTGAATCTTTGCCCTCCTTTAGATCAAAAAGACAATATAACAAAAGAATTCTCATGGTCCTATCACCCTAACACATTTTCATTTCTTCATGGTTTCATCATGTGCTTGATCCCTGGAAGACAGGTCCAGGCATAATCTTAGTGTGTATATAATTAGTTCATGTTGTGTTCTGCATTTCCCACTTAGCATCAGACATTAAACCTTTTCCATGTTGCTAATGAGCATTGAAATTGGCATGGTGGTGGCTGAGATGCCTTTCACTGAATGGACATTTATCGAGCCATTCCCATGTTGCTAGACATTATGATTACGGAGGCTGAGAAGTTCCATAATCTGCCATCTGCAAGCTGGAGAACCCGAAAAGCTGGTGGTGTAAGTTCTAGTCTCAGCCCAAAGGCCTGAGAACAAGGGGAGCTCTGATGTCTGAAGACAGGAGAGGCTGGATGTCTCAGCTCAAGAAAAGAATAAATTCACCCTTTCTCCTTTTTGTTCTGTTTGGTCTCAATGTATTGTATGGTGCCCACCCATGTTGGTGAGAATGGATCTTCTTTACTTAGTCTACTGATTTAAATGCTAATCTCTTCTGGAAACACCCTCACAGATATACTCAGAAATAACGTTTTACCAGCTACCTGGGCATCCCTTAGCCCAGTCAATTAACACATAAAAAAATTAACAGTCACAACTTCTCAAATAAGCTTCTCACGCTTGAATCCTTGTCTTAGGGTCTGCTTCCAGGACAGCCCAAGTATAGACTGGTACATTCTCAGGAGTGGGACCACTGGACCACAGGGGATGATATTTTTATGATTCTTGCTATGGACTCAATGCCCTGTTTAAACCAAATTAATTATCTTTCTAGTGCTCATATTGCTGATCCCATTTGAAGAATAAGACCTGCAGATAAAATCCTGGCAAACATGCTCATACTCCTGAGCAGTGTCCTGGATGCTTTCCTGGTGGTTTCAATTCTACCACTGGATACCATCTTTGAGCAACTGATAACAACCTTAGTCACTGGAATGATGAGCAGTATTCTACTGATTTTTTTAAACATGGATATAAGTGAACCCTACAGGTTTGCTCACATATGCTTAGTTGGTTGCTTTTATAGGATAGCTGGTAACCTGGATCTTGAAAGCCTAGCCAGGCAGAATGGGGTGGCGAGACAGCTAGTAGAATGGGTGCCTCAGGGAGAGCCCAGAATGCCAAAGCCTGTTTCTTATCCATACCACAGAACTAACATAACCTACAGCCACCCCAATTATCCTCCACTGAGTGGTCTGCAATGCCTGGTCACATCTCCACTCTTTCGTACGTGCTGTTTCCTCTACCAAGAATGCCTTTTCTTACACCCTTGCTTAGACATTTATACCCTTTTTCGAGAAT